TAGATCATTAAAAAATGATCTACTAAAAGATAAAAAAAAAATTAAAAAATTTGCATGGGAATCGCCACTTCGAATGAATTTGAATAGTTGGCGTTCCTGACGGACCTGTCGCCTGACTGACGTGTCATACAAAACTATTTCTTCCGTGCGATTATGAAAAGTATTATTGCATTTCAAATCGTTCTTTGTTTTTTCGTAAAAAAAACGTCGTTTATTTTAAGAAAAGTCTTTGTTAAAGTGAATTTAGTTACGCATTGCAAAAGTGTCTTATTAATTTTGATCTGCCATTCTATTTACCTATGTTCACTTTGTTGGTTTCGACAAAACTTCAAACTTTACCGTTATTCGAGGATTTAATTTGAAGTTTTCAATATTTTAAAATTCTCAAGACAAAATTTACAGATTTGATTGACTGTGAAAATAATTCTGTGTCGTTTTATGGAGTTCATTACAATGCCGAGAAGACGACAAGCTGACATAAGTCCACGAAGTCAATCAAATGTGCGACGAACTACCTAAGGTGCAAATCGCGATGATTTATTTCATGGGTAATTCGGATACGGAAGTTGATCAGCGTTGTGCTCATAATCAACATCATAGTCAAACATTGAAGCGAGACATTGGACGGTATGAGTAAAACTGAGTAGATACTCATATTCGAAGTACGAAGTACCTACTTCATTATTACTCTTATACACCTGAGCATCTACCCGATGTACTGTGTATCTACTTACAAACATTGTATCTCCCCGGACACAAATTGAACATTTACGCGTTTTGTGAGCATTTAATCTAAAAATGAGCATCGGCGTGGCAAATGACTATTTGTCCTTATAAATGATAAATTAAATGTATTTTTTTTTTCCTTAAGAATATAGAGTTAACAAAGTTAGTTGAGTTACAAAAGTCTCTTTCGCTCCACGTTGGCCACCAACGAGCGATTTTCATGATTTTTGTTAAACTTTGCTGGTTTTGAATTTGAATTTTCTGTCCTCGATAGTTGATGCTCAGCAAGAACCACGGGAAGGTCTGGAGCAGATCTCGCTAGGAAAGGAGAGGGCTAGGAATTGTTAATGAGGGATAGAACGTTATACACTACAATACAACGGAAACACAATACAGGTACCTACAATCTAGCTACAATACAGAATACGCTACAGATACAGATACAATTCAGATACAATACAAATGCAAAGTTAGTACCCAATACACCACCGGAAGAAATTGCACCAAAAATTGAGAATGTTGCAAAATGAAAACCCAAGAAAGCACACCGATGGAACTCGGGGCCAAATCTATTGGTCGCAGCGCTCACACGCCCAAGGGAGAACGCAGCCGCATAAATCCAAGGTCGTCTTACCTCATTCTCAAAGAACGATGCAACCCAGCGTCTAAGGGCCAAAAGAACCCCCCCAGGCCAAAGCGTCTGACGACATGGAGAATTCAGTCTCGGAACCAAAGAATGCACTGTTGCAAAATTAAAACCCAAGCAAATGCACCGTGAAAATAAAGCATTTGCACCACTGGAGCTAAATTGGCAAGACCCAAGTTAAGTTAGTAATACATACAATATACAGTACAAAATGCTTCAATTACAAAAGTTACAATATACAAATTTCTCCACGTTTGCCGCCAAAGAGCGATGACTGTGCTCGCTCGTTGCTGTTGCCCAGCAAGAACCAAACAATACGAGGAGGTCTGGAGTGCGTCTTGCCATTAAAAGAGAGGACTAGGGTTTGATAGCATGGGTGAAGGACACCGTATTTTGTAAAGTTGGACGCCGTAGTTTACAGTATTTTGTGAATTATGAACGCTGCACTTTGTATATTCCAAAGCCGTACTTTATCAGTCCTGAATGCATGTTATTAACAACATATTTTAAAAAAATCGGGCATTTTTGGAAAAATATCCACTTTCCTTCGTGTTCACAGGACGTAACACAAAACATTTTCGCTAATATTTATTAACAATAAATTAGAAATTCGCGAACACGTGCTACTTTTAAGCCAAAACGGAGCTCCAGTGTTGCTGCTACCAGACCGGAATCAAAACTAAACACAGAGGATGGAAAAATTGACCTTTTATCAGGTAGCTCACGTGACAGAGACGTCATCGTACGTCACGATGAGATTGCAAAAATGATTTTTCATATTTTAGATCAGAAATTTTACATTTTCGGGGTTAATTTAAAAATGTTTAAACAAACTAATTTGTTTTTGCTAACCTCGTGTTCTTATTAGGAAGATGGATTTCGGTTTAATTATCATATATTGATAGTTATCATATTTGAACATTATGAATTCTAATAATTATGTTTAAATTTTATTTAATTATATCGCGAAAATGTATAGCTTTGACCCACCAACTTCAATCGTTTCGAAAATTTATCCAAAATGTAAACATTGTCGACCAAACGAATCACGGAATCCGATAAATTAAAACTGAAGTCGTACTTCCCCTGTTTTTCGTCTTTTTCGGAAAAATATCCATTTTCGTTCGTGTTCACAGCACTAACACAACATATTTTCCGTAATATGTATTAATAATAAACTTGAAATTCACTAAAACGTTCCACTTTTACGCCAAAATGAAGCGACGATCTTGCCGCCATCAAACAGAAATTAATACTGAACACAAAGGACCGAAAAACGTGACGTTTATACAGGTAGCTCAGGTGACAGTGACGTCATGGTACGTCACGATGAGATTGCAAAATTTATTTTTCATATTTTGGCCGGGAAAATGCACATTTTCGGGGATAATTTAACATTGTTTAAACAAATTGATTTGTTTTTAATAATTTCGGGCTTGTAGGACAACGGGTTTCGGTTTAATTATCATACATTGATGCTTATCATATTTAGACATTATGAATGATATTAATTATGTTTAAAATTTATTTATTTATGTCGTGAAAATGTATAGCTTTGATCAACCGATTTCAATCGTTTAGAAAATTTTCCCAAAATTTAAATATTGTCGAGTGAACGAATCACGGAATCCGATAAATTAAAACTGAACTCGAACTTACCCTGTTTTCGGTCCTTTTCGAAAAAATATCCATTTTTGTTCGTGTTCACAGTACTAATACAACACATTTTCACTAATATTTAAATATATGAATTAGAAATTCGTGAAAAGAGCCCTACTTTTAAGTCAAAACGGACTCTGATGTTGCTGCCACCAAACCGAAATCAAAACTAAACGCAGAGGACCGAAAACTGTGACCTTTTATCAGGTGGCTCACGCGACAGTGGCGTCATCGTACGTCACGATGAGATTGCAAAAATTATTTTTCATATTTTCGCTCAGAAATTGTACATCTTCGGGGTTAATTTAACAATGTTTAAACAAACTAATTTGTTTTTGCTAACCTCGTGTTCTTAGGAAAATGGTTTTCGGTTTAATTATCACATATTAATAGTTATCATATTTAAACATTATGAATTATATTAATTATGTCATTTCTGCAACTCCTGAGTTATTTTCTAAAATAAATTGACTGATCCATACATTTTTTTGTCACTGTAAAAGCAAATCTAAAAAATATGAATGCAACGATAAATTTACGAAAATATACTGATGATATTTTGCACATTTTAGATAGGATTTATTCGGCAAAATCTTGAGATGACGTCATCAAGTTTTTGGGCTGGATAAACAGATATATTTTGATTAAAAACGTACCATGTCAGTAACTTCAAAACGTCTGCAATAAATCTAAAAATTTAGTTTTGCAATTCTTGATTCAATCAATAAAGTAAACTGACTCAGTGATTAATTTTTTTTGAGACAACCCCTATAAGCAAAACTAAAAAATATGAATGGAATGATAAATCACAAGTATAGTCTCATCTTATTTTGGATATTTTAAAAAGGATTCATTTGGCAAAATTTTGGGCTGACCTCATCAATTTTTTGGAGGAAGTAAGTATTATTTTGAATACAAATTTATTATGCTTATCAGATGTTTAAAACATCTGCAAGATTTCAAAGCATTCGATTTGCAGATTCAAAATTAAGTTGTAGGTGAAACGAAGTTCACGAGGTCAGCTAGTTACATATAATGAGCAACACTAGTGTCACTATTAGCAAAATCAAATCTGTTTAATTTTTAAAAACATCTAAAATTAATTTAGACGCAGATAAATCGATACTCTGTGAAATCAATTCTCTTAATGATGCTTTGGTTAAGGCATGAATCCGATACTTCCGTGCTGTAGTGTAGAATGTTGTAATCTTTGAAAAATATAGGTTTCAGATGGTAAATAAAATATTCATTGATGAATTGGGGCTATTAGTATCTCGGGCAGCCGCGTTTTTCCCATAGAAAATCACCTGCAAAGTACTCGCATTATATTTATTTTCCTGCCATATCATTATCTGGCCAGAACACGCGTCCATAAAATATTCATTGCTGGCATTCGTGTCAACTGAACATTTTCGTTTTTCTACCAACAGTCGAAAAAAAACTGATAATTTTAACACGAATCCTTTCATCTCGTTGTGTTATATCTGCAGTAATTGAAGCGGTGTTTATTGCAATTAATATAGACACTTCATCTGTAATAAAATGCGAAAACAGTTTAAATTAGTTACTACTAAATTATTTGTCTAATTAATGCACTTTTCCAATGATTACATCGAAGACCACTTTACAGCTTGAATTAAAAACGACTTCTGGGCATTGCTAATCATAATTCGTATATAATTTTAGGAAAACTGCACAAAAAATTTACTATAATTTATTACGTATTAACAAATAACGTATGAGTATACTGGTACCGAACTAAACCTAAAACTTATAAAAACAACAAAAATTAGTGGCTGCAATTCCAATAAAACATCACAAAAAATAGAAAGAAATAATACAATTAAAAAATGATATCACTGAAAAAAAAACTTAATTTAATCAATAATGCACATACATCTGTATTTTCCAGTTAGTCCCATAATAACTGCTGGGCGCTAAATCTATTTGTGCATAATAATTCCGCATCAGTTTTGAAACTAGATCCATTAGTTCAGTTCCGTATTACAGGGTTGCATCTAAATTTAATAATTATTGCGCAGAATATACCAAAGAGGCTTTTAAGTAACCTAAAATAATAACTTTTTTATCACAGACAAAAGTTAAAGAAAAAACACTTACTAAGCTTCAGTCAACTGAATGGGAGTAACAAACGAAGTGGAGAGTGAAATTTGGGTCCATCGTTAAAATGTTACATCACTGATTTATCATTTTGTGATTATGTCGTGTGTATTGTTAGGTTAATTAATGTAGTACTAATGCTGTTAAGTAACTTTGTATGAAATCTAAAAATACAGCTTCATTTAAATTGGTTAATATCCTAAAAATTTTGGGAACCCAAGAAAGCCGTTGACAGCTAAGGAAAAAACTATAAAATAAGCACACGTAAAACTTACCGTTTTTCGGGTTGCTTATTTTCTCAAGTTGTGGCCTGAACAGAATTCTGTTTCGCTGCAAAGTTGATCAATTAATTAGCCAGACTTCTTCCTGCATACACAAAACTAAACGACGTAAAATAAATTGGGTTTATTTTATTTTATTTCGCAAGTCAGCGTTGTTTAATTGATTGCAGATGTCAATAATTATAATTAGTGCAGTTCACAGATGTATAATTTATTAATTAGGGTTACTGGTGTTTCGTTGTTGTGTCTATCGTTATGTTTTAAAACATTTACCTCGTCATTAACCAATGGAGTAAAAAAACAAGTGAGGAAAATAAAATAACTCTCTTAGGAAACATTCAGAAAAAAAATTATTGAAGCTTATTGTGACATAATTTCCCTCGCCCTGAAGTTCGACAAATGCCGTTTCTTTAAAAAATTATGGAATATGATTTTGTGATTTTTCGTTTTGTGATAACTCTATAAAGTAAAAACCAGTGGCGAAATTAACATTTAAAGCCAGTAAAACCGGAAAAAATGTAGAGATTCTCAATTTTTCAGTACATGCTTAATTTAGACTGTATATGCTCATACTTTGAAAGAATTCGACTATTAGCACGTTCAGATTGCAAGCATCAACGTACGGTTAGAAAAAAAGAAATTTGATTGATTTGTCTCCTCAACGCAGATGATGTCTAATTAACCACATTCAGTTTTTTTCAATTTTAATTAATGATTTACCATGCTTCCAATATCCTTAAAATGTTTGCATTATTTGCAACTTCAAAGTTAATTTAAAATAATTTCGATTATTTTTCTCTAAAATCTGGAAGCCAAAGGTAGAAACTCAAGTGGACGCATAAATGACGCAGTAGCACGTAATTTTATAAAATTTAAAAGGCACTATTCGACAGAATTGTATGATGACGTCATCATTTTTTGGGAAGGTCATAAACGAATTAATTTTGATTAACCTAATTGATTGCAAGTTTTCAGAGCATTCGGTTTTGTAATTTCAAAGTTAAATTTTAAAATGTTGTTATCCAATTCAGATTTTTTTCGACAAAAATTTAGATGTATAGGGTAAAAACTCGATACCGATTCACAAATTATAGATACAGGAGTACGTATTTCTATAAAATTTAAAGAACATTTATTTGCCATTGACACAACTGACATAAACGAAAAAATGTTGATTAACGATTATGATGCCATGCTTATCATAACCTTAAAACGTTTTGCAAGATTTCAGAATATTCGGTTTTGGAGTCTCAAAATTAAATAGCAAAATGTTATATTTTATGTTTTATAAAATTTAAATAATATTTACTAATGTAAATTTTGGAGATAACGTCATTCTATTGTTGGTTAAAAATGATTAGCCAAATTTTGCTTAGCTACAGGATATTCCTAATATACATATAAAAATTAGGACAGTCGACAGACAGACAGAAACAAGGAACCTGTTTTTCATACTCTAGGGGCCATCAAAAGTCGATCACCATGAAGGATTACCAAAAATCGGTCCTTTTCAGGACCATCATTTGTTTCTATAAGGAATAATCTTTCGCACTGACCTTTAACGATGGATGAATGAATGCTTGAATGAACGAATAATATGCAGCAAAAAGTCGGTTTTACTTTTAATTGAAACTGAAAGTGTTTACATCTTTTTTATTCGAACGTTTTTGCACCTACTGTTTACAAGGTGGATCACTGACTTCGTATCGAGGGTGGTTCATGGGGGTTATGCCCCATTCGATTTTTAATTTGTTTTTCTATATTTACACACTACTACGGCACGTAATGCCGTGGTTAAAATTATTGCATATATTTCGAAATCAGCCTGTATAATGCAAAGGCAGTTTGTTAACAATTTATCATCTCCTTTTTAAAATTTTTGTGAAATTTTTCATCACGTATCTTTACAAATTAATATCTCAGTTAGTTATAGAAATTTCGTTCACCACCGTTGTCAGCTTACAAAACTCTGTAAATCGTAAGACAAAACATTGTCGATTTTTTTTATCGGAAACGATGAAGCTTGTGTCGTAGAAGCTTATTTTTACTGCATGTTATTTCCTACAAAAAAATCGACAATCCGTCTGATACGATGTCTAGAATTTTGTAAACTGGAGACGGTTTTGAAAGCCGCGTTCCGAGATTTCGATAAGTAAATGAGATATTTATTTTTAAACATACCTAATGCAAAAATTTTACTAAAATTAAAAAAAGTTGATAAAAAAAAAACGTATATTACACACTACATTATTTCATAAAAATAAGTAACAATAAAGGATTTATTTTAATATATTTCCTATTCTAATTTTACTTTCCTCCTTTTATAGTCCTCGTTTATCGATTTTCGGTCTTGATTCGATATTACTTGAGTCATTTTTACTTCCCGAGCATAAGCGAACAAGTATTGTAATCGAGTCTGTTGGCCAACTCTTTACTACTGAACCGATTGTTGTCAAATTTTATATGTGTATTAGGAGTATGGTATAGATGGTAAAACGCTAACCAAAATTTGGATAATCATCTCTACCAACGATTTGATAACGTCTGCTCATTACATTGTATAATTCACATTACCGATTTTGTGAATCAAAAAAATCACTACATAATATAAAACAAAGTCGCTTATCGCTGTCTGTCCCCATGTATGCTTAGCTCTTTAAAACTACGCAACGGATTTTGATGCGGTTTTTTTTTAATAGATAGAGTAATTCAAGAGGAAGGTTTATATGTATAATAACATCCATTATGTAATAGAGAAATACTGTAATTTTTGAGGTTTCTAATGTGATGTCGTAAATAATTACATTTTTTCCGCTTACATTGCAAACGCAGGCTGAACCCTACGAGATTTATCAAATTAATGTACCAAGTATTGTACACCTTGAAAAGGTCTACAGAAAACTCCGCGATGGTATATGTCTATTTCTTATGGATAATCCACAATAACAATTTTTTGTCATTTACTCCGAATTTAACGCGTGCGAAGCCGCGGGCAAAAGCTAGTAATATATATGTATATATATAATCCTGTACTTGTGGTTTACGAAAATATCTTGATTTTATTTATTATTATTACTATTTTTTCATTGTTTAGATCACCTTGTTTTTTACCAAGATAGAACGTGACGCTCATATAGCAGATTTAGCTCAGTGGTAGAGTCTGCGATCTTTTGTTTAGATACAATAAATTTATTAAAATGAATCACTCTCTAATTTTTTATTGATCAAATTAAGAACGAGTCACCCCATTTTCTCGAAAAAGTGAAAATACGAACGTCTTTATTTAGTAAAGATTAATTAATAACAATTGTAATGATAATATTTTTGCTCGATTGCAGCTTACTAATAATTTAATCCTCTGTTTTGAGGCGACAAACTCTTTAAAATCAAACTAATTTCTACGTGACATTTTTCCGATGTGTAAACATAAATACGTTATCGAGCGTAAGCTAAGGGAGTATTGTATTCGAGTCTATCTGATCCGATTTTGTACTTTGATATATTCTCGACTTTGCATGACCCCTAGACAAGACCATAACTAGGAAAGTGTTTGCCTCTCCTAGACCTAGACAAATTATAATTAACCAAAAATGTGAATTACAACATCGAAAATCAAAATAAAATGCAATATTTTATGTAATAAGCAGAAGTCAGAGCGATAAAAAAGACTGGACTATCGGCATTGTGATCAGGTTATTGCAATTCATAGAAAGTATCTTTTAGTATAGTTTCTCTGTTTCACTCTCACGTACACAGCCTCCTCAATCGTTATCGTTATTTGTCTTAAATTACAAATACTTCATTTGGACCTCTGCTATTACATGTGGCAGACGTGATTAACTTGTTTCGTTAATTTCGCATCTACACATGTTCACATCAAATGGAAATTGATTCATTCCAAAATTGACTCTCAGATAATTCCAAAGACAGACAACCGAAGAAGAGCAGTTATTACTTTAAAGTATAAACATGCTGATAAAACGTTCGAAGACATTTTTATTTGATTTTTTTTTTTTGTAGTAATTATTGTAAAAATTGAATTTTTTGTTATTTGATAGATAATTGTAATTTATTTTAATACATTGGTCACAAATATTTTTGTCCCTTTCAGAAAAAGATATATTCTGTTGGGCCAATATATATTATTATTATTATTATTACACTGCTTCTATCCTAACTGTCCTTGCAAAAATGTGGATGACATCGCAAAATTTTGCAATAGAAAAACTAGCTGGAAACAATCGCGTAGCACGTTCCTTTAGCTTTACTTGAACATTACATACATACCTATCTTTATTTTAACTTATAATGGTTGTCATAAAAAACATAAAATTCGCAAAATCAAATCTTTTAATTTTTCGAAAGAGATGGATTTGATATACTGTATACATCAACCAACTTTTTGGACTCGAAATTACATTTACAAAGTGTCTGAAATGTAACAATAATGAACCAAAATCGTATAACGAATGCTAAAAAATGTAGTTACCTCTATCTTGAGTCCCGCTTTTTTACTCATCAAAACACATTTACTGTTTGTACGGGGTTTCTACAGGGTCATTATAAAATATTGTAGTCAACTCACCTATGAAAAACAAATGAAATTTTTCTCGTGCCGCTAATCACCAAAATGATTTGAACTGTTTTGAAATGTCACGAACGTCCAAACAAATCTGTCAGATGTGTCAAAAATTGAAATGCCCGGTTCGCGGTTTAATTTCATTTTAAATAGACACGAAAAGACGCCAGGCCAGAGCATTAAGGGTTGCAGTGTTATCGAGCATTTGTGAACGCCACTGCAATACATTTCAGTTTCAAAAATTGTAAATTGTCAGAAAAACGTTTAAGGGCTTTGTCATGAATTACACCTTGGAAAGTCGATTGGAGTTGAACAGAATAAATCATCTGGTCTGTTTTGCAAAGAAGCAATAATTTTTCAAATAATGAAATCCAAAAAGTGAGGTTAAGTTTGTCGAAACCAATGAACACGGTAATTATTTAAAAAATTACATTTTTATAGGTACCCTGAAGGTAAAAATTGTGAAAAATCACGTAATGGACAATGGCAGAGCAAGTCTTATCACAGTTAACGAACACTATGAGTACCTAATGGGTTTTTGCAGTAAATAATTTTGCCAAAGTTGTGATCCCGCGAAAGTTCTGTTTGTAAATTGTAAGGAATCGTCAAAATATTGGTGTAGACATGGTTTGTGACCGGTGCTTTTCTCTTGAAAAAACACAACTGAAATCCTTGATCTTCATCCCTACAATAGGTGAAAATTGCTATGTCCAAACATTACCTTCAGCTTTGCAGTTTCTAGATATCTGAAACATGCCAGATCTGCATAACAGGAATGTCAAAGAGGTTCTACCCAAAACACGCCCACATGGCCATCCTAATATCAAGATTTTTCAAAATTTCTATAAGAAAAAAGATGAAAAAACCAATAAAATTTCAGGAGCATAGTGTTAAGAGTTCTGTAGCTGATTATGAGATCTCTTGAAACAACAGAATGTTTAATAAAGATTTTTAACTTTCCTAATAGTAAAATTACAATTATTACTAAACAGTAAGTTGAAGTAAGTTTTAAATTAAGAGAATGCAACTAACACCGAAAGAAAAATGAAAGTTACTGAAAATAAAAAACTTTATTGCAGTACCTACATACACTTTCTACATCTAATTTTGGGTAAAATTTTACAAAGAGCACTTCTCGATTTCGCACAAACTGTTTGCACAGAACTCTTCTACAGGACCCCCTGATCACGTTCCTCACCTTCAAATGTTGTGGAAATGCTTACTTTTGCCACAAAAAAATTATTAAATTTCCTATTTGCACACTCTTCAATGGCAAGTCGTTTCGAACATAACCTAACTTTTTATAGTCAACAACATGGGTAGGTGTAATATCGGGTTTTTAGTGGAGGCAGGGCGCTTCGCGCCCTGCACCCCATTACAAACATACCCCTAAACGTGGCACTTCTTGCTCCGTGGATCATTTAGTTATTGGAATTCGTGCGAGTTCAACTGTGTGTGTGTCGTTGGTTGCCTACATGCGGCGCAACTAATAGGGTGCAAACCATAGGGCGAACACTAAATATTTTTTTCTGACACAAGGAAGCATTTCCACAACTTTTGAAGGCAAGGAACGTAATCAGGGGGTCCTGTAAAAGAGTTCTGTGCAAACAGTTTGTGCGAAATCGAGAAGTGCTCTTTGTAAAATTTGACCTAATTTTGTTTATTGATCACATTCATTTACTTGAAAAAGTATCAGGCCTATGAATCGTCGTCTGCTAACCACACACCAACCTTCATTGCGTGTGATGGTGTTTCTCCAAAAGCGTGAGTATTTTCTATACACCAAATTCGGAAGTTCTGTCAGTTGACATAATAGCCTAACAGATGAAACCAGGCTTCATCAGAAAAGAACGACAAATCGAGAATCCCGTTATCGTCCATATCAGCTTGAAACCAACTACACTACCCAACGCGGCAAGGAAAATCAGCTGGTTGCAGCTCCTGAACCAACAAAATCTTGTATGGATGCATATGTAACTTCTCTTTTACGATTTTCTGACATGGGCTGTATGGTACTCCGGACAGTAAAGATTTTTGACAAAGCTTTATTCGGACTTTGTTCCATTCTCAGTCTTAAATCTTCAACACCGTCTTCACTAACTTGAGGTCTCCCCGTCGGTTTTCACTTAGAAATGCTACCAGTGTCGTTAAATCTGGCCATAATTCGCCATATAGCGTCTTCAAAGATTCTTCATCAATGACAACAGAACATTTCACTAGATACTCGTTTTTAGACGCCTCCACAGAGTACACTCCATCCCCATCCTCATTTAACACCCCATTACGGTAATAGGCATGATGATTGCGCCAAAGAACTAAAAAAATCATTTGTAACACTGACCATAGTTATTCCTCTCTGTTCATTACCTGAGATTATTCCACAATGATCTGTAGTTTTGATAAAAACTGTTTTTTGAGACACTTATTAAAGTTCTAACAAAGGGGAAGACAGCAAAATTGAAAACAAGACAAGTCAATTAACGCACAAAGTGAGGGAAAACGTACCAGTACAAACGAAAAAATTATTGACATCTGACAGAATTTGATGAAGCGTTGAAACAGTGCAGCCGCTAATGTCAACTAATGTGGCCGTGGCGCTAAAAATAAAAATTCCAATATTAGTGTAATCCTTTCCACAAAACTGAAAAAGGCGGCACAAAATGTCACCAAAATCATGGCCTTCTTCGACTACAATATTTTATAATGACCCTGTATAAATGATTATAGGGTTGAAGCAGGTCATATAAATGTACCGCCTCTCAGTTTTGGACTTTACTAAATACCCAACAACTCACGACAAATACCATACGTATTTGTATAATTGATTGCCTAAATGCTTCATATTTTATTAAAAAATTAAACTAGTTCATTAAACAAATTGTTGCGGTTAAACATCACAGCAACTATTGAAAATGTCCACCATTTTGTTCAAGGCAGAATATTTTCATTCTCTTTTTAATTTCAAAAATCTTCTGTAACATCCTTTTGTTAATACTTTGGACTCATTGTTCAATTTCATATTGCAACAAGAACTCCTGACTGCTGAGGAAATCTTATCAAGGATGTTTGCGAATTCTCCTCAAGTCGTCTCAAATCATTAAAAACGTCCTCAGATACTGGAGGTCTTCCAAGGGGATTTCGCTTTATCGATATTGACAATTCGAACAAATCTATTGATTGCATTTTTAATATAAGATTCTAACGATGTTTCTTAAATCATTATCAAATCACGGTATTTGTCCAGATATTCTTACTTACAATCGGTTACAGAATACACTCACTCTCCGTTTACGAATGTATCATTGCGATAATAAGACAACAATCCTTTTCACGCTCTTCGCTTCCTGACATAAGAACAAAAAATTTCGTACGCAGGCACCAAAAGTTTTGTAAACGAATATTTTGTTGTTCTGAGCTTGGATCAACAGGAATTACTGTAATTCACATTTGAAAAATGTTAAAACAATAAAACCGATGACTTTAAATGACAGGTTACAAATGACATTACTGACAAGTAAGCACAAGAAGAGAATAATGAGGCGCATAATTTCAGCGAAGCCAGATTTTTGAAATCCATTGCCAACCACGCCCTTAGAATCATTTTTCGAAACCCTGTCTATTCTTTATCACTCACTCTTTTGCGTTTATTTTCTTTAACTACACTTTCGGTGCCTTTTGGTCACATTTTCCGACTGTTATTACAAAACATTATTGCCTCGATTCATACAATAACAGTAACAACAACAACAAAAACAATAACAACAACGTGAAATGTCATATAAGTAACCAAAATGACAGCTGTTCATAGCCCCCTATGTTAATAAATGTAAAGCAATGATGTCCAATAAAAATTAACTTCCACAAACTCTCAAATTAGCAAATCATATCAATCTTTCTTTTACTATGCCTACCATTCATAAATCAACTTGGTCGTTCCTGCATTGGTACATATGTAATTCTTTTTAAATACACTTAAATGGCATTTATATAATTTTTTACCCTTTTACACTTTTTAATTTTTTTCATGTTAGCTGAATCAGGTCTATTCTCTACTAATTGTTGTAATTCTGTACTAAAAAGCTTATTTCAACATCCCTTTCTGAAAAATAAAACTTATTTGAAGTCAACACCAATAATATTAAATGTCCGACAAAAATATTAACACAAAATTTCAAAATAGATCTTATTATTATGATTACTTAAAATATGTTTGAATTTTAACTTGTTGTACATTTAAAAGGAAGCCGCTCCGAATATCTTTCAGTCATTAACTCAGTATATCTGATACTAGCACTTAGACGCTTTCAAATTTTGCAGTCCTCTTTATTCACCAACAATTAAGCATTATAAAATCATGAAATGATAAACCGTCTTGTGGACATTTTAAATAATGGATTCCTGCATTACGTGTACTAGCGTAGAAAGAGTTGCCTTGGTGTGATATTTATCTCACTCACAAAGGTGATGTTCAACACAAAGCTTTTTACCGATATTATTTGCCTCATATACTATTCAATAACTTATCCATGAAACTGTGTTTTCACTTATTCGAAAATAATTTTACCCTCAACTCAACTTCTAATACTAATAACGATGCGTGCACTCTCTTAGACCAAGTTTTGCCATTTTCAGGTCGAACTGAATAATGGATTAAAACAAGTTCAATTTCAGACAGGAGACGTGCATGATCATTGTCGACATTGAAAAATGGCACATAACCATTGCTGTCCTAACTAAAATATTCAGCACACTACATAAAAATTGAGAAGTTCATTTTCCTGAAACCATCAAGTCGAGTCGGACTGGACGTTTACATTATTAAGGCTCACCAGGGAATGGATGTATACCGGAGGGAAAAATTACCTCGCGTAAAACTTTTACGCTTTTCTATTGACGAAAACCATGCAATTTTCCGACGATTGGTACTAAAATAATAATATTATCTACTTCTAAGACTTTGTATTGTGTACGAATACACATAGGCTTAGTAAAAAATTACTTCGATTGATGTATAAATAAATATAATGATTCCCAATATTCACTGTAGACGATGTAAGATAATAAGGGTTTGATTGAATTTCTCAATTATTTTGTTTTTTAAGATCAGTCAATTTATTATCATAATTTAAAGCAAGCAACTGAATATTCTGCAAACATTGTACGGTCTGCTGACTACAAAAATCAAGCATCTAGTAACTGAACTTTCAGATCTTGAAAGCAATACTAAAAACTTCAAATTTTAATTGTTAAATATGGTATAGAACAACAACATTTAAAATAATTTTTAAAATGCAGACATGATGAGGGAAACTATTATAGAGGGCAATTTCTGTAGCGAATACTTTCAGATTTTTTACTCCCATGTCATCATCAAAAAATTATTAGTATATTCCGAAACATCACTGATACAATTGTAACAAAATTCAACGTTTTAAGTTCACTCTATGAGTGAGTTATTTGAAGTGCTATGAAGAAATGGAACTATTTGTAATTGGAATGATTTGTAATTTTGCAGTGGATGTCCACCGCTCTTTCGCTTAGGTTTCCAAAAGTGGTTTAATTTCACATATTGTATGACATTGACAACATTATAAATTGTACGCTGCTAAGATGAATATTGTTTACGTAAGGATTAATTGCACCGAATAATTTTCATCCAGTACAAACTTGTTTGTTTCCATAAGAAATGTATAAAGTTTAACGTTAATAATGTGCTTAAAAACTTGTCAGAATGAGGCATGAATTAAAAAGTGGAGTTTAGGCTAAAAAAAATCCCGCTTACTTAAAAAATTAAAGGCTTTGATTTTGCGAATTTGTATTCAAAAAAAGAAATGCATATAAGAGTATGCTATTTTATACAATTTGTTATAAAAATTTTTAAGATATCATTTGATAGGGAGATTGGGCAGATTTTGGTTAGCCTTTTAACATCTACACGATATTCCTAACATATATAAAATACAATCGTTCCGGTAGTTTTGGAGATTATCTGCCTAATCAAAATCTGAAAGGACGGTACACAGACTGAACCAGGAGACCTAGTTTTTCATACTCTAAGGGTGATGACATGTCGAGAAAACATAAAAGTAGCCAGTCGCCACCCGATAGACTCGATTACAAAACTTTCTTTGTTTACGCTCAGAAAGCAAAAATAAAACTCGCAAAATTAAATTTCATAATTTTCTGAACATTTTGTATTTTATAAAAGGTTTTATTCCCACAACACTGAAAACACACAAAATATTTGTCGACGTATTTCGCCAACCACGTTGGCATTATCTAGACAAAGCTAAACTATATATTTGTTCGACTGTATTTCAAGGACGAGTTGTGTATAAGTAACCCTAGACCACATTTTTGTTCAACATTCGGTGATGTAACACACTTTTCTTCGCTACAACATCCACATCACGCTTGTTTATATATTTGGACGAAATGTTCATATGTCTGGGCCCGACGGCGACGGTCACGCCGCCGATAATCAACTAATATAGTAAAGGTTATTCTTGTAGTTTCCGGGAGAGCCTTTTTTATGCATTCATTAATCAATCATACTTTAGTTTTGTTTATTACATCCAGTGCATTGAATGATGTATCATACCAACAATATTGGAAAAATAGGAATGCGTTGTAAAGCACATGAATAAACAATAGAGTAACAGTAACAGTTATTTATCTATTCTATTATTGTATTCTCACAATGTGAAAATGGGATGTGCTCTTTCTGATTTGAAGGAAAAAATAGTTGCAAACGCCAGGAATCGTATCCGGGTCTTCTGTTTCGTCTTTATCAAACACTTGTTATATAGATTTCGTCTTAAAGCACCATCATTTGGTTGCCGAAAACATCACACTTTTGTAGTTGAAACAGCGAAACATACATAATTCTCCTCTTCTCTCCAATACATTGCGTGCTAAAATATTTCATCATTTAAATAGGAGACAGATATACATATTTTCTACTACGTCATGATCATGAAGATTAAAATTCATAAGTTTTTTTAGCTGTAGTATGTAAAACTTGATTGATCAACTTCCATCCCAGTGTATCAGCCGCATTATTTAGTTAGCTTGTAATTGAGTAACCTATTAGCTAATTTACATTAATAATAGTATCAAAGTACAAATCTCCTGCTTCATATTGTACAAAAATTTGACTTTTTCTGACAATTTAAGTTCTCATACGTTTTACAAATTTACAAAGGGTTTAGATTATCGGCTTCGTTTCGGCATGGTTGATTTAGATTTTAATACTTGCTGTAAGTTGCAAAATTCTAACAAAATTCGCGCCACTTATTTTGTTCCAAATAGCAATAAACATCTTCATGAAATTTTTAACTTCGAAATTTTTTATAATAAACCTAGATGTAACTAAAGACTGGTAAGAAAAAAATAACATAGGATTAACGTATTTCCTCTCATAGATTGGAAAGGAGATTTTCAAAAAAATATTGAAGAATAAGTACCATAACAAACGTGAATTACAGTTTTTGATATTCTTATGCATTGTGAATTCGTCCTTCGGCTACTTTTGAGATTTTTAACCTCTCCTGTTGCTACACCAAATAGTGTAAACAAATACTCGGCTTTAATATCGATTAGTTTAATACCTACATTTTTAAAAATTCTAGAAAAAAATATATACGATATGAATGCATTGTATATACACTAAGTTACAAAAAAAAATGGCGTACTCTAGTTTTGCCATGCCTGTTATGTGGATAATTATGCTTTGTTTTTGAAGCCAGAAAGTATAGTAACCGAATCCCTCGGACGAATGGCCACTTTTATGTTTTCTCAACGTATCATGACCCCTACAGTACGAACAAAGTAGTCTCTCGTTTCCATCTGTCTGCCTGGCGTCTACATTCATCTATATTAGACAGGTAATCTCCGAAACTGCTGATTTTTGTCAAATTTTGTATGTGTATTAGAAATATCATGTAGATGGCTAAACGGTAACCAAAATTTTGCTAATCATTCCCACCAAAATTTAATCATTTTAAAGAATTCTATGTGATTTAAATGTTCTACAGCAATATACTCCTATAGGTGTACGAATCCGCTTTGAGTTTTTTCCCAAACCATCTAAATTTTCACAAAAACATTTGCACAGTATACCATTAGCGTACGATTACGATACCCCGATCGTGACTCAGTGCGTAAGAGCTCGGAACGCGGGCCGGCGCCGGCGGTCCGTTCGATGCCAAACTTGGCCTTTTTTTTTCTTTTTTTCTCGCGCTGTATATTATCTTTGTTTATGACGTCATAACAATTTTTTATTTAAGAACGAGTCACTCCACTTTCTTGAAAAGGTGAGAATACGTCTTTATCTAAATAATAATAATAATAATAATATTTAGAATATTCTGTTCGACTGTGGCTGAGGCAATAATTTTAGTTTCTTTTAAATCACAGAAATTTATACGTGACATTCTTTCCATGTATAAACAAACAATTTCTAGTGCTTGTTTATATATCGGTAGAAACCTTGTTATTACTGCTGAGAGGCCATTTTTCCCGCTTTAAATATATTATAACATTGTAAAATCTGTCGAAATAAACTTTGACCAACTTTTTTATTTCAAAAATATGTAAAAAATTATCTTTATTAGTTTCACTTCTTAATATTCCTAAACTATTGCAATTTTTCTTAAAAAAAACAAATTCATTTTCTGACTGACGTTGTTCGCAAGTGCAACTTGACCTAAAATTTGCCAAAATGTTGGATTGGATTGTATAGAAAAGCATGTTAAATGAAATAATCCAATGAGTCTCAAAAATAAATTCTTCGTTACTTACGTGAAAACGCCTTTTAGAAAACGAAGCACAGAAAATACTTTAAGAAAATATTATTTTTCAAAAGCAAATGAATATCAAAAATAATATTATATGGAACTTTGCAGAATATTTTTTGGTCACAATTTTATAGTGAAATAAAAATTCAGATAAATTAAAAAATAATTGTTATGAGGTTATGACGAATCTTTTTTTTTAATATTTTGCTTTCTATCAATTATTTCATGTTAATGAAGGAATGCATACATAAGTACAAGAGAACTCATTCGTATAGTGAAATAAAAATTCAGATAAATTAAAAAATACTCATAATTGTTATGATGAGGTTATGACGATTTTTTTTTATATTTTGCTTTCTATCAATTATTTCATGTTAATGAAGGAATGCATACATACGAGTAGAACTCATTCGTCTTTATTTATAACTAAATTTCGTTAAAGTGGTGGTAAATTTTTGTTCCTCTAAAATGTCAACCATGAAAGTACGGTCTCAATCCAACACCAAAACGTACCTACAATGGTTTATACATAGGAAACATTGCAAAGAACATAGTGTCTAAAAGTCACTATTTAAATAATCAAAATATCTAAACAAATGCTAAATACATATAATGGTAAAAGAAAACAAAATCACTCCCTAGATAAATAATCATTGTAAAACCAAGTTGAAAACCTGGTGGTGCAGTTTGTTATCTAATTCAGATGAAAGACAAGAACTTTGTTTTTGTATTCCACCTATATTTTAAAAATATTTTTGTACGATTCAGTACGAACATACTTCTATTTATTTATCTCTTTCATTATTCTTACAAAATAACGTAGACGATTTAAGTCCGGTATAAAAATGGGCTATCGTCTTCTACATTTTATCTACACATTTAAATGCAAATATTATTGTCAGGTGGATGTAAAAAAATTGAGAAAGCTTTTAAAATTAATAAGTTGCTGTAGGCAGGAAGATATTCAAAATATATTCTTATGTTTGGAAGTCGTTTTAATTGCAAATTATTAAGGCAGAATTTTTTGTAATTAATGCGACATAAAAACATGCTGTGTTGGTAATGAATGTAGCCCTAGGTTTCAATTTTATTTAATTAAACATTTTTTAACACAAATTAAATATCTGATCTCAATTAACAATTAGATTTTTAAACTTTCATAAAACGTGTCCATAAATGATCTGGAAAGCTCTGTCATGTTTTAATCACTGTAATAATAAGACAAACAAATATTTAAGAAAAAATCTTCCGACCCACCCTTGATACCAGAATCATTTATGGATCCGTAAAAGCGGTTGTAACGAAAAATAAATATCTCTATGCTAGATTCACTAATACACAGTTTTATTGAATTTTATCGAACTTTTCATCATTTTTAAATTAAAATTCGTTTCTAGACAGCGCTCTCCATCTGTTAGGAGAAGCCGAACGCTTCTTGAATTTAAGAACTCTGGATTTAGGGGAGTGCGACATCTACCGTCTAGTCAACATATTAGAGTCTCTCAAGCAACTGTACCAACTAGAAGGTTTGTGTCTACAGGGAAACCCTTGTTCGGTAAAGTTTCCTTTTTATAGAAATTGTTATGTTAAAATAGAATACTAGTTTAAACGATGTTACGATCAGTGACTATAATGATGCTAGACAGAAAACTGACGAAAACATCGCTTGAAACTGCTTGAACAGAGGAATACGTCTGAAACATATCCCTTGCAAAATGATCACCACTACACAATGAAACTTCTGAATTCCATGCAGAAGTCTGCAAAACACTTGCAGTTCCAGACTGCTCACCATTCAAAACTGTTTTTTGTGTATATATTTTAGTTTTTCCAGCACAATACCCAATTATTGACCCAACATTTCAGTGCAAAATAGTACTTTACACAATGAATTCACCTTTTAATTAAGAGCACAAAGCCTGTTCATAATGTCGTGAATAAATTCGCCGAAAAATTAAAGAACGAAACCTGACAAAAACGCTCGAATAAGTCGATTAAAATTTTGCAAGGGCCAAAGTCAAAAATAACTTTGAATTTTTACTTCCCAGACGTAAGCTAAGCAAGTATTTTTAATTGTAACAGGATCCCCATATTTTCTCGACGTTTCACCAGTTCATGACCCTTAAGAGAACGTGTCGATATTTATTAATTAGGTAGATAGACAATTTTCGAACCTACCGGACTGATTGTTGTCAAATTTTATAGGTGTTAGAAATATTGTATAGATGATAAAACGTTAACAATCAGCAGCTTCATTATCCGACGTTGTTATAGTTAGATTTCTTACTTATTTTTTTTTAAGTTTTCTAAACTCTTGATTTGAGGGAGTTCTTCTATTGGGATGTTGCCTGGCGTTGAGACGACCAGTGGGATCAAAATTTTTGTCACACTTTCCCAATATTAATAACATATCTGTGAACAGATAAAATGAACACCTGTATAATACAAAATTAAAAAATATATATAACATTTTTGCAAAAACAGTCGTCGATCTCTTATCATTTTTCAGATGAGCTGGAACATTTATAGGTAAATTCAACAATTAATTTATGAAAAAATATTTATAATCTAATTAAATTAAATAGATATTTTGCTTTGTATATACAGTCATATTGGGTAATTTTTAAAATTTCTCCTCCAGTTACCTATGACGCTTACGTCAGTAGTTTCAATTCTGTTGCTGATGTAAGGGTCATAGTTAACTAAGACAGAAATTCAAAAAATCATCTATTATAATTTAAAAATAAAACACACTTAACAATTAAGTCATGCAAAAACATCATAGCAGCATATTTACAATATAAAAAAAACAACACAATTTTTCGAGAAAGTTGATAAATCTAAACGAAAGTATTAAAATTTTTAAACAGTTATTTTGTTTGCAACTAACATAATCTCGATAGAATAACGAGTGATATCGGTTCGGAAGATGCGGCTGGCTCCTCTATGGATCTTCGTTTCCTAGGTTATGTGTATAAAAAAATATTAACCAGAGAGTATCGAACTCCAATGACATGACTAGGCGAGCATCGTCTTGTTAGAATCAAATGAAACATTCGGATGGATGGCTATCGAAAAAGGAACTTAAAAACTCCCACTATGTCAGTACAACTGATCAAAAATTAAAACACAATTTAACAGAGTCATAATTGGAAAAATGTGTGAGTTTTATCTTATCTTTTTTTAAGTTAATATTTTTTCAAAGTAATAATAATTATTGATACAAAGGAGTATTTATCATTTTTGTATATAGTTTTTCTCTTCATTTGAAATGTGCAACGAAGAACTGTGAGTTCTTGTGAATTTTCATACTTAAATTGTTTATCGAATTTATTTCTACTTTACAGATACACCGTATGTATAGGTATGATCTAATTAAAGGTGTGAGTCTTGTTCAAGATTTCTCACGTAAATGGCTAGATCGTATATAATTATTTGCAACTGAGTTTCATAATGACACCACAACTGCCTAATTATATCCTAATTGGGGACAACCTGGGACAATTGAATTCAGAATTTCAAATTCACTGCCGTCTCAGGAGTATGTTTAACTGCTTGTCATGCATGAGAGGTGATTTCAAAAAATATGTTACACTACTAATGAGACATCTTCAGCACAATACTTTTTTCAGGATTTCACACTATTTTTAAGAAATATAAAATTCGATTTCAATTAAAAAAATTCACCCTCGGAAAAGTAGTTCAAATTTAAGGATTCTACCCTATTTTCAAAGGTATATTGAAAAAGTAACATTTCAAAGATTTTGCCTTGTTTTTAAGGTGGTTTTTAAAGTTTTCAGAAAGTAACATTTTATAAAGTACCTATATTAAAAATGTTAAAATCACCTCCGGCTCCTGAAACTATGCTGAATTTCAAGGCTTTTTGACCTGTTTTTAAATTTGTACTATATGAATCTGTTCAGCACAACAATTTTAAGGATTATCCCTGTTTTAAGGAATATTAAATCTGCAAAACCGAATGTTTTGAAATCTTGCAGATGTTTTAAAGTTATGTTAAATTATGATAAATTTTTAATCAAAATATATTTGCTTATTCCCTCCAAAAAATTGATTACGTCAGCTAAAAATTTTGTCGAATAAATTCTATATAAAATATACAAAATATGATGAGTCTGTACTTGTCAATTATCATTCCATTCATGTTTTTTGGATTTGCTTATACAGGATGACTCAAAATATTAATAAATTAATTTATTTTATTGATTTAATCAGGAACTACAAAACTGAATGCTTTGAAATCCTGGAGATGTTTTAAAGTTATCATAAGCATGGTAAATTTTTGATCAATATGTATTTGCTCATAACCCTTAAAAATTGATGACGAACCTTAAAATTTTGGCAAATAAATCCTATCTAAAAAGTACAAAATATGATCAGTTTATACATGCAATTTATCATTCCATTCATATTTTTTAAAATTGCTTATACAGGATGACTCAAAAAACAATTAATTAATAATTCAATACATTTTATTGATTAAATCAAGAATTGCAAAATTGAATGTTTTGAAATCTTGCAGACGTTTTAAAGTTATTGTAAGCATGGTAAATTGTTAATACAATTACAATCTATTCTTTTTTATTTCCAACTTTGCAGTTTCTTTATTTGATTAGATGATAAATATACTCTATAATCACTCATCGTTTTTGACTCTGGATTGGCGTTGTCAGTCATTTATTTAATTAAAACCTCGACAAAGCTTTGTGAGCCAAAGGGGAACTCGACTTCATTTCCAAGTAAATCTTTTTATCTGTGATAGTCACATTTACAGTTCTTTGAGATTCAATTACAGTATATATGTAGTAATTAATATTTTGATAATCTCTTAATGTCCATTTAACTTCTAGTTCAGAAAATTTTGTTTTTCTAAATAAATTTTTATCATTTTGTTTGTAACACACGTGCCTTCGCCTAATTTTTTTATAATTACATAAAAAGAATGCGACATGCAAACGATGTAAATCCGCACCATTCACTTGATATTCATAAGCAAGATGTTGAGTACCCCTGATTTTAATATTTTTATTGTTTGTTTGTCTTGGCAAAATTATCGTTTCGTTCAGCTCTAGAAAAAAAACGAGAAAAATTCTAGATATACATTTTATTTTGACTAGGTATTTACAACGCGTCAGTTTCCATTTCCAGAGGACTACAAATTACTACCTACGGTAACAGTTATGTACATTACAACCACAAAGAAAGTTAGATTTGCTAACTAATAGTGAAAATTTTTTTTTCACTCGAATTTTACGTAATACAATGCGAACTTTCAATTCAAAACTTTGTTATAGTCTCGTATAATTAAAAAAAATTTAGATAAAGAGATTAATTTTGTAACAGTTTTTCATCTTTTGTTAATAACCACCTCTCCAAGTATTCTTTGTTGAATGCAAAATTATTTGTAATTTTTTAAACAACTGTTTTTATATCAACATCTAAATGTTTAAATTTTTCAGATTTATTTTGGGCATCATATTTGTATTGAGGTGTATATGAATCTGCTGTGTCTGCATACCAACATAATTGTGATGCTGAAGTATCAGATACATTGCCTGAGATTTCAATCAAATTTGAAGTTGACGTAGCAATACCCCAACACCCACATGATTTGTTTGTTCTATTAATATCTCTTCATAGAAAAACTCAAAAACTCAAACTAATTTTAGATTTAACAAAAATATAAAGCTTTCCAGCCACTTATGTTACTTTCAATACACCTATACTATTCAAGTTCGTTCACATTGATATTATTTTCTCTTCTTTCATTGTAAGTATAAGTTTTTGTTGATTCATCAGTTACAAGGATTTCATCAATACGACATAAATTATCTACATGTTCCACTTCCATTTAAGATTTATTATAAAAAACCTTTTAAGAAACGTTAGCAATTTTAGATCACGTGAGTAAAATCTATATTTATTAATGAATTGGGATTGTATACTTTGGTTATGAAATCCAAGTTGCCTCAGGCAATTGACTCTTTCAGGGACGCTTTACCAGATTTGATTTGATTTCAATAATATCTGTTGATTTTTTTGTTAATCGATTCTTTGGTGAACTTTTCTTTTTTAATCCGTCGCCTCACAGATGTTCATTCAACGATTTTTCTTTCATTTTGTTTAGAATAGAATATGTAGTATATGTAGAAAGCGGCGGTGATTTGACATATGTAGATGCTGTATTTTTAAAAGACCTGAATTTACACCTTGAATGATATCATTTTTATTATTTTCCCAAAAATGTTGTAGTACTCGTATATGGCGATATAAAAAGCCTAATTCTGGCATTCCAATTTTTTTATAGATTCAAAAATATTTCCCTCTGTGATATTTAAGACCAAACCCATATTGTTTTAGAAATTATTGTTTTCTATGAACAACAAGTACCATTTATCCTACAAAAACTGCTCCACAGGCTGGAGGCAAAGACGATTACTGAATATTCAGAACAAAATTTAAACACTCATTGATTTAGCTGATTTGCAACGGAAATGCGAATATTAAATATATAATCCGTACGATTAATCGGTAAAT